TATATATATATATATATATATATATATATATATATATATATATATATATATATATATATATATATATATATATATATATAAATTGTTAAAAAATCTAATGCTTCTTTTCCTTCTGCCTTCGTTGTCTTCATTTTATTAGTATATTTTATTTTAGTTTTATTATTAAAGGTGGGGTAAGCGGTTTTTCAAAAACGTTTTAAAACAGATTTGGGCCGAATAGCAAAACAAACTTGTAGCCAATCAGCAGTAAGGGGCGTGTCTACTAATGATGTGGAGGAGAGAGCGTTCAGTGCACAGGACGGACATTAGCCGAGCCGAGCGACAGAAAGATAGAGATGCCGGATAAAAAACAAAAGAAGAAAATGTCTGCGAACAAAAGAAGGCTTAAGGCAAGAAGTAGGAGCCGTGTAAATATCGGATCAGCTTTCCAGCACTGGAGAGAACTCAAGGAGTGGAAGGCCTGCGATCGGACGCCGAGGCTGCTTTGTTTCTTCTCGATAGCTGAGTAACACTGTGTCTGAGCCGCAGCTATAGTCTGTCTAGTACACTGGACACGACAAAGCGACCGCTGAAAATCATTTGAAATTTGTGTCAATACATCATGAATAGAACACAGCAGCAGTTTTCTGTCGGGGATTTGTCGTGTCGTGCCGCGCCGCATTCAGTGAAGACCATAGATCTGTATTTATATATCTATGGTGTAGACAGCATCACTGATTATAATGAGTTCTATAGTATTTTGTCGCGCCACTCGTCCGGTGTAGACACGGTGTAACATTGGTTTTGCTTTGTTTCACAGAACTAATCGTTGCCTGGGTTGCATACGTATGTGTGGGGCGGAGCTATCAAAATAATTAATAATTAATAATAATTTATGCATACCAGAAAATCGCTTACCCCACCTTTAAGTATATTATTTTGAATATTAAACATCTGTACATGTAACTGGAACGAACAAACCATTATGCATAATCATTCCTAATACTGAGCATAATAAATAATGAGCAATTTATTTGTATGACAGTGAAGTCAGCCAAAATGTCATAATCAACATCATAAGAGCTTCTTATTAGAAATCACCACTGCTACAGTATATTTTATGCTATTTTATTTTTAACACCACAGCAGCCCCACATTGACTAATGAAATATAGGTAGCTAATTTTAGCTATGGTCATCTGAGTCGACACACTTGTGTGAAACATATGTCTGTGTTTTAACTGAAAATTGAAATATCTATGTAGATTTTGAATGGGATTTTTACTTCCGGAAGCCTGCTGTTGGCGGTCTGTACCGTGTTGTTTGTTAGTAAGTCGTCCTATTTCACAATAGCATGTTGTCACGAGTGTGTGTGGATGTTTTAAACGAACCGTATGCAGCTGCAGAAACAGCTGTCCAAATGTGTCCCTCAGGACTGTTCCTCACAGCAGTGCTTACAGCCGTCCAAGATCCACGTCCTCATCCTGGTCCTGCACGGCGGCAACATCCTGGATACGGGCAGCGGAGACCAGAACAGCAAACAGGGGGACGTCAACACCATCAGCAGCGCGTTCGATGCTGTGATGCGGGTTCATTACCCCACTGCATTGGGCCGCATTGCCATCCGCCTGGTTCCGTGTCCGGCCGTGTGTGTGGAGGCCTTCTCTCTGGTGTCAAAGTGAGCATGAACACACACTCAATCCACCTCCAGGAGAATAAACAAGACCTCTGGTAGTCATTCAGTTGTGTTGTTAACTTAAACTGGCAACACATTTTATTTATTATTTTATTTTATAATTGTATTATTATTATATAGTAATAATAAATAATTGTATTTATTTGGTATAGAAAAAATAGATTAGAATTATTTCTTAATAATGTTTCCAGAAAGTCCCTGTAATAAATACATTAATTAATTTATTTATTTTCAATAAATAAATAAATACATGCATACATACTTTTGTTTATTTTATATAGAAAAATAGATTTAAATTATAGCATAGTAATGTTTCCAGAATTTCATTTTTATTTATTTATTTATTTAATAATTGTTTATTATTCTGAAGTAATGATGATAAATAATTGTATTTATTTGGTATAAAAAATAGATAAATTATCGCTGCTTAATGTTTCAAGAAAGTCCTATATTTTATTTTATTTATTTATTTATTTACTTACTAATTAATTAATTAATACTTTTAAATCAAGAAATAAATGAATTAATAAATGTTTTTATTTATTTTGTATAGGAGAAAAATATATTTAAATTATTGTTAATGCTTTTAGAAAGTCCCTGCAATTAATCAACTAGTTAATTAATACATTTTTTTAATGATGATGATGATGATAATAATAGCAATAACAAATACTTATTTATTTTTATTATTATAACTTCATAATAAATAATAAAAAAAAAGAAATTTATTGGTATATTTGAATTATATTTGTTTTTATTTTAAATTTGAATTATATTTGTTTTTTATTACTTAGTATACAGTGTAAATATATCCAAATGTATTTCAGTCAGAGATCTTTGTTTTTGCAATAATCTGAAAGTTATACAATTATGTATATATATAAATCACTTAAATAGTATGCTACATTGTCAATGACACTGTGTAACATGTTTAATTCAATAAGTAACATCCAGTTATATGAGTGTTGCATGGATACTGCAGAAAGACTAGAATGGTAGTATGCCGTTCTATGTGCTAATCCAGTGTATAAGAGTGTTTGTGGCTGGTAATGACCCAGCATGCTCTCTGTTCTTGTGTCCTTGACTCAGTTTGAGTCCTTACAGCTATGACGAAGGCTGCCTCTCCAACAGTCAGGATCACATCCCTCTGGCCGCCCTGCCCCTATTGGCCACCTCTGCACCACAGTACCAGGACGCCGTGGCAACGGTCATAGTGCGAGCCAATCAGGTCTACGGTGACTTCATCAAATCCCTGGAGGGAGCCACTTTCACCGGACAGGTCAGTGCTTTGGGGTTTTTTAGCAATGTGTTAAGTCATGTTGGAAACATGTTAAAACATGCAAGCTATTTGATAAACCATGCTAGCAGCAGTGACGTTATGCATCACATCATGGACGTGTTGTGAATGTTGTTTTTAAATTGACATTTCCCTCATTCGTTGCCCAGCACATGACTTCTCTGTATGTGATGTAATGCGTGTCTCTGTGCAGGTGTGTCTGATTGGTGACTGTGTGGGAGGCATTCTGGGATTTGATGCTCTCTGCAGCAGCAACGTCACTGTGTCAGAGAGTCAAAACAGCAGCCGACGTGGCAGCATTGTTAGTGTGCAGGTGAACACACACACACACACACACACACACACACACACATCCAGACAGTGATTAATTACCCTTAATAAATCACAACATAACAGATACGACAAATTGCATCCTTTTGTATTTGAAAGTGTGACACATCAAACTCTTTCATTTCAAAAGAGCAAGAAAAATGCTGTTTTCCATCACATGACCGCTGTAATACTAATCACTCATTCGCTTCCTCTGCAGGACAATGACCTGCTGTCACCGGGGATCATTATAAACAGCACTCACTGCTCAGGTTTGACTCTGGAGGGCAGTCGGCACCTCAGCCGCAGTAATATAGACATTCCTCGTTCCAGCGGTCCGGACGACCCCAAAAAACAGCTGCCCCGCAAACGCAGCGACTCCTCCACCTACGAGCTCGACACCATCAAACAGCACCAGGCCTTCCTGACCAGGTGAGCCACAGCTGATAGTTTATCATGAAATCGGTCAATATTAACATTTCTTTAGCAGATAATATCTGGGATTCTTTTTATATTTCAAACAATAAATCCCAGGTGTAAAAAAAATACAAGATACTTTAAAATTGTTGATATGTTATTACATATGTTATTATATATTATTGAGTGTTTTCGCGATCATGGAAAACCTGAAAATAATAATATTTATTTAATTGCTTTCCAGTCCTGAAAAATGAAAATGAATTTTTTTTACATGAATGTAGAGTAAAACATCAAATGTGATTCGAATCAAATGAATCACAGTCAAAGTGGTCAAAAATGAATCAGTTAAAGTGGTTCAAAAATCTAAATGATTCTTTAGCAAACTGATCTGAATCAAAATTATTTAAGGACAAAAATCCTTCTCCAGTATTCATAAACTTTTCGTTTATGGTCATGGAATTTTTTTTTGCACAAAGAGTGTGAACCCTGCAATAGTTTATTTTAAAAATGAGTATTTATTCAAATTGTAAATCTTTTTAAAGAATTCTTTTCAGTCAAATCTTTTAAATGAATCAGTCGAAGAGATTCAAAAATCTAAATGGTTCTTTAGCAAATTTATCTGAATCAAAAGCATTTAAGTAAAAAATACTTCTCTAGTAATCATAAAAACGAATAATAATTTTTTTGTACAAAAAGTATGAACTCTGCAATAGTTTTGTTTAAAAATGAATATTAATTTAGAATTTTTGAATGAATTTTATTTTTAGATTATACGTGATGTTTTTAGATTATTCCTGACATTTCTATATTAGTGTGGTTGTAATAATATAATTAAAACCATTCTAAAAATATATAATAATAAATAATTATGTAAATTGCGTGTATGTAGTCTGCACGCCAGCGTTTTGAGGAACGATCCGGGTTCTCGCCGGTCCAGCAGCAGTACCATGCTAGAGGGAGGAGGAGCTCTGGGAAAGTTTGACTTCGAAGTATCTGACTTCTTCCTCTTCGGCTCTCCGCTAGGCCTGGTCCTCGCTCTGAGGAAAACCGTCGTCCCTTCTTTGGACAGTATGTTAACCTTGAATACTCTTATTTTAGTTTCTAGTGGATGAAAGAGAATGAAATCCTGTGCGGACTGGATGCCACAGCGATCATTTGAAGTGTGACTTTATCTGATAGATTACCTGGACTGTGTAATCTCTTTTGTTCGTGCTGTTTTTGTTCTGATGTCCAGTGTTTCAAATCTTTTAAAGGCTTCAAATGTATTAATCCGATAAGCAACTTAAATCGGTTGCCGGCAGATTATGAGCGATTGTTTTAGAGGGCTAGAAAGTGAAGATTATGCTGACGGGAGTTTCCCAGTCCAACATCTGTTATGTAGAGCTCGTCAGACAAAACTAACACAAGGAGCAATGTGTCGGATTAAATAATGAAGGAATAACATAAACTGCAACATTTTTTTTAGCTAGTTTATGGTGAAAGAAAAAAAGAAAGAAAGTACACTGCTGTTCAGAAGATTTGGGTTAGTAAGTTTTTTTTTTTTTCTCTTTTAAGAAATTAGTACTTTTATCCAGCAAGGATGCATTAAAAGGATCATAATTGACAGTAAAGACATTAATAATGTTACAAAATATTTTGAATAAATGCTATTCTTTTGAATTTCTATTCCTCAAGGAATCCTGAAAAAGTAAATGTATCAATTTACACAAAAATATTACCATTAATCCGATAAGCAATTTAAATCGGTTGCCGGCAGATTATGAGCGATTGTTTTAGAGGGCTAGAAAGTGAAGATTATGCTGACGGGAGTTTCCCAGTCCAACATCTGTTATGTAGAGCTCGTCAGACAAAACTAACACAAGGAGCAATGTGTCGGATTAAATAATGAAGGAATAACATAAACTGCAACATTTTTTTTAGCTAGTTTATGGTGAAAGAAAAAAAGAAAGAAAGTACACTGCTGTTCAGAAGATTTGGGTTAGTAAGTTTTTTTTTCTTTTTTCTCTCTTTTAAGAAATTAGTACTTTTATCCAGCAAGGATGCATTAAAAGGATCATAATTGACAGTAAAGACATTAATAATGTTACAAAATATTTTGAATAAATGCTATTCTTTTGAATTTCTATTCCTCAAGGAATCCTGAAAAAGTAAATGTATCAATTTACACAAAAATATTACCTAAATATTACAACTGTTTTCAATATTGATAATAATCAGAAATGTTTCTTGAACAGCAAATCAGCATATTAGAATCATTTCTGAAGGATCGTGTGACACTGAAGACTGGAGGAATGATGCTGAAAATTCAGCTTTGTTCACAGGAATAAATTACATTTTACAATAGATTAACATAAAAAAACAGTTATATTAAATTGTAATAATGTTTCACAGTATTACTGTTTTTGCTGTAAAACAATCATTGTTTTTCATCAAATAAATGCAGAAGAGACTTATCAACGTGAAGAGAAAAAAATCTTACCAACCCCTAACTTTTGAACAAGTGAACTAGCTGAGAAAAAATATATATATACAGTATATATATATACATATATGAAGAGTTAATTTGTAAAAACTGATAACTCTCAGAAACTCTTCAGAAATCATGTTTTTTTTATTGCGCATTCCAAGTAATATCAATCAAACTGCAGTTGGGTTGTTTTGATTAAGTAATAATAACGTAAACAAATACAGGTAATTTACTAAATTAAAGTTCATTGAAAGTATGTTTTTTTTACATATTAAAAGTTTGTTTTATAGCAAAAGCAGATAACATTTCATGTTTAAAAAAACACTAATTTAATCTTTGTAATCTCCTCAGATGAGAATGTAGATGCCTGACAAACGTTGTTGTGATCATAAACTGTATGGATGTGATTATTACACGCAATACACAGAGCTTTTCCCTCACCATTGTAACGCGCTGCTTTTGCAAGCTTCCGTGAAAACGTTTCAGCTTTTATTTTCCTTTTTCGCCCTGAAGAAGATATCACAGGTTCATCAGGTTCATCAAAATCATCCTCCATCACTTTGTCAGCTTTGATGAAACTCCTCTCAGCTAGAGCGTCTTTTCTTAAAGTGAAAGTTGCCTAGTCACCTGACCTGAATACAGCACGCTGATTTGCTAAAATGGACTTATCGGCTTCTGTTCAAAAACAACAAGGGCGCTTATCGGCTTCTGCAGTAAAACGTGAACTCTCGATGCCTTGAAAGCGAACAAAAACCGGCTTTTTTGACAAAACGTGTTTAGGGTTCAGATTGCGCTATATGTGGAGAATGATGCACGGCAATCAGCTAATTTTTTTTAAAGTGGTGTTTATCGGTTTTTGCAAATGAACTCTTCATATATATATATATATATATATATAATGTATACAAGAATTTTAGATCAATTTAACACATTTTTTTATTTTTTATTCTTCTCTCTTACAGTGGCTCATCTTCGTCCAGCGTGCCAGCAGGTTTACAACCTGTTCCACCCGGCGGATCCCTCTGCCTCACGTCTGGAGCCTCTGCTGGAGAAGCGCTTCCACCTGATGCCACCGTTTAGCGTGCCGCGCTACCAGCGCTTCCCGCTGGGTGATGGCCAGTCAGCGCTGCTTGGTAAGAGTGGAGAGATTTCTCCGTCAACACGCACACCTGCTGTGACCAGGATTACACCTGCTACTAATATCTATCTCGAGTGATCTGATCGCCAGTGGTTAGGCGAGAGACGTTGTTGTTTTTTTACTGGGTGTTAACATGCATATCAAAAGCGTCTCTTCTAACCACTCGTGATTGGATTTTGGGTGGATGGTCCCTGATTTTATGACTGCATTGAGATAAAATTATAGTTTTCATTAATAGATGTTTTTTTTCTTCTTAATTTTAGTTAAAGTTTTATTAATTGTGATGTTTTTTAATTGTATCATTCATATATATATATATATATATATATTATTATTATTTTTATTTTTTCAGTTTTAGTGCATCAAGGGAAACTAAATGGCAATAAGAAATGTTGCTTTGGCAACTAGCTGAAATTAATATTTGTATAAAAAAAAGTTTTTTTTATATTTTCCGTTTATATCTTCATTTTAAAGTGTTACTAATTTTGTTGTGTTTTTTGTCATTTTAATTCATTAATTTTTTTATTTCCCTTTTTTTACAGTTTTAGTACATCAAGGGAAACTAAATCACAATAAGAAATGTTGCCTTGGCAACTAGCTGAGATAAAATTATTTTATTTCAGTGAACGTATATTTTTATTTCAAGTAACAAAAATTGTTTATGGTTTTAGTATGTTTTCTATAATATCCCTGCTGCATACATCATTCACTATGTATTGTCTGACTGCATGTGATAAAAATGCAAAATATGCCCAAAAAAAGCCCAGAAAGCTGCAATGGCTAGTTTACATACTTGTTTTAGTCCAATTGGTGATTGGCAGGTGAGTAACTGGTCTTTTGTCCAGGATGCATTTGGACTAATTACAGTAGCTTTTATACTACAAAAATATAATAGATACAGATATTGTAGTGGTTTAGTGTAAAGCAGCACTTTGTAAAAGAGCATTGTCCATCACTGCAGTTCTGTCGTGAGTTTGCTTCACGACTGCTGGTCTCGTGTCTCGGTTTGTGTCATTTCTGTCTGTTATTTGTCTTTATTTTCTGTTTCTTTGTCTCTCTCCCCTTCCCGTCGCTCTCATGTCTCCACGTCTCATGCCTCTGGGTTTGACATGTGGCAGTGGAAACCATCCAGAGTAACCCTCACCTCCTGTTGGAGAGTGTGAGCTGTGTCGCCCAGCGCTGTCAGGATGGCATCAGCGAGACTTCCATTCCCGTCCCTGTGCTCAACTGGCAAGCCACGCCGGCCCCCGCCGAGTGTGTGTAGCCATTCCTGGTTTCTCACATCTCTTTTTATCGTAAACACCCCTATTATATGTGTCACCCCTGTGTGGCGTGTGCCTTCATTTCACATAAGCTGTGTTTGTGCGTGTGCTCTGACATTGATTCTCTGATTTGGGCTTGTTGTTTTTTGACTGACTTCCTTCCACTGGATGCTGCAATGTTGGATCTGATGGTATTGAATTTAGAGGTGAAGTGTGATCAATGTGTATTTTTTCAGTATGAAAAAATCTTCAGTTGAATTTAGTGTGGACAAGTTTATAAGCCATTCATAGGTTGACTTGCAAAGAGTGATACATTTCACCACATAATCAAAGAAAAATCACAATATATTTGCCCCCAATACAAATTTTTTTTTGTCATCCTCATTATTCTCTATGATTACTATAACGATTACGTTTCTCTTATTAGATTCAGTATTTTATAGTAAAAAAAAATAAATATATATATATATATATATATATGTGTGTGTGTGTGTGTGTATTGTATTTACTGTATATACATTTTTTTTTTTTTTAGAATTTAATTATTTTTCTATAATATAATTTATTTTATATCATTCATCAATTATATTAGTTTATATTATATCATAATGTTATATTTATATTTATAATCTTTTTATTTTTTTTTAGGGGAGGTCTGTTATTTGTCTTTATTTTCTGTTTCTTTGTCTCTCTCCCCTTCCCGTCGCTCTCATGTCTCCACGTCTCATGCCTCTGGGTTTGACATGTGGCAGTGGAAACCATCCAGAGTAACCCTCACCTCCTGTTGGAGAGTGTGAGCTGTGTCGCCCAGCGCTGTCAGGATGGCATCAGCGAGACTTCCATTCCCGTCCCTGTGCTCAACTGGCAAGCCACGCCGGCCCCCGCCGAGTGTGTGTAGCCATTCCTGGTTTCTCACATCTCTTTTTATCGTAAACACCCCTATTATATGTGTCACCCCTGTGTGGCGTGTGCCTTCATTTCACATAAGCTGTGTTTGTGCGTGTGCTCTGACATTGATTCTCTGATTTGGGCTTGTTGTTTTTTGACTGACTTCCTTCCACTGGATGCTGCAATGTTGGATCTGATGGTATTGAATTTAGAGGTGAAGTGTGATCAATGTGTATTTTTTCAGTATGAAAAAATCTTCAGTTGAATTTAGTGTGGACAAGTTTATAAGCCATTCATAGGTTGACTTGCAAAGAGTGATACATTTCACCACATAATCAAAGAAAAATCACAATATATTTGCCCCCAATACAAATTTTTTTTTGTCATCCTCATTATTCTCTATGATTACTATAACGATTACGTTTCTCTTATTAGATTCAGTATTTTATAGTAAAAAAAAATAAATATATATATATATATATATATGTGTGTGTGTGTGTGTGTGTATTGTATTTTTATAATTTTATATCATTCATCAATTATTTTAATTTATATTGTATTTATATGAAAATATATAATATTCATTAAATATGTAATTTATGTATTTTTATATTTATTTACTTAGTTTACTTTTGAGTAATGTGAATTAGAAATAAATATGCTTAAAATTAATTAATTATGTATACATAAATGCATAAACACAGACAAGCACACATATACTGTATATACATTTTTTTTTTAGAATTTAATTATTTTTCTATAATATAATTTATATGATATCATTCATCAATTATATTAGTTTATATTATATCATAATGTTATATTTATATTTATAATCTTTTTATTTTTTTTAGGAGAGGAGGTGCTTTTAGAAAATAAATGTTTAATTTTATTAAAATAATGGACCTTAAATTTCTAAATATTTCTTTCTTTTGGTGTAAATATAACGGTCCAAACTATATGGGCAGTGTTTGTCAAACCTGTTTGGAAACCAGCATTGTTTTTGCAATTTCATTTCTTGCAGCCAGTGCTATAGAAATGACACACTTCACCTTTAAAATGACAATACAGCAAGAATAATAAGACAAATCTAAATTCAAGCATCTTGACTCGTGACAAATCCTGATTCTGATGATGGGTTGCATGTGTATTTGGTAGATAATGCCCCATGAGGTCTTCAAATAAAATGGACTCGGGGGCAGTATTTACTACTCTTTCTCTTTTGGTTTTGTTTGCCTCTTCTTTTCACTCCCTTTCATCATTTTGAATCAAACGGTCCTTTCACAAATGAATAATGATGCATCATTTTAGCTCCGTTCCAAAATCTAGTGAGATCTCGATGCTGCCCAGTGAGCGCACCTGTCATGCCTTCTAGATGGACTGCTGTCTAGATAGGCAGCTCACTAGGTTTTAGAACTAGAGATGTAGTCAGTACTGAAAATTGTCAGATTTCTGGGCCCTAATTTCCCTGTCAGTCCCCAGTCTCTGCGAGTAATTGCTGGTTTTGGTCCTCGCAGCGGACGCGATGCAGTCTCACAGCATTATGTTTGCGGATCACTCCAATCCTTCGTCTCCGGCATCTGTTCCAGCCTTCCGCTGGGCGCGCAGGGCCAGTGAAACCAGCATCGCCAGCCAGGTGTCGGGGTTAGCGGACAGTTACACCGCCTCCAACATCGCCAACAGTAAGTTAACACACGTACACGCTCGGTTAGAAGCGTGTCATATTGCAGCAGTGAAGTTATTAAGTAATTGGTGTTTTTACCCAAAAACACATTTCATTTACCTTAAATATGGAATAAATGAATACACACTATGGTTTAAAAGTTCGGAATCTTTCATATTTTTTTATGTTTTGAAAGAAGTCTTTAATGCTCTCCAAGGCTACATTTATTTGATCAAAAATACAGTAAAAACTATAAAAAATTATGAAATATCTATTTTGTATTTTAATATATTTTAATGTAATTTATTCCTGTAATGGCAAAGATTAATTTTCAGCAGCCATTGGGCATGAATTTTAATTAATAATGTTAATTTTGCAGTAGTGCATAAATTGTTTTTTTTTATTATTTTCTTATTTAAAATGAGTGTTATCATAATATTATTATTATTAGTAGTAGTATTATTATCTTTAATAAAAAATTCAATTACAGTCTTTATCATATGTGACCCTGGAGCACAAAAGCAGTGTTAAGTCGCTGGGGTATATTTGTAGCAATAGCCAAAAAAACATTGTATGGGTCAAAATTATAGATTTTTCTTTTATGCCAAAAATCATTAGGATATTAAGTAAAGATCATGTTCCATGAAGATATTTTGTAAATTTCCTACCGTAAATATAAACGGTATGAAAATTTCCTATCACGATTATAGTGACCAAAGTTATCACGGTTATCAATATTATCACGGTTTTGTTAAAATTAGATGACAATGTTAAAAAAGAACTGATTCACACTGAAAACATTTCAATAAGTTTTATATTTGAAAATCAAAAAACAACAAATACAATTAGCAGCTATATGCACATTTTTGTAGCATAAACATTAAATTAACATTAACATGAAGCCCTAATAA